TTTGTAGGCGTCTTAGAGTGATCCTTAAGAATTATACTTCAATTGACTCTACAGAATATTTATAAAGCTTATTCTAAAAGAAAAAAGGCAAATAATTTCCAAATATGTTAAAATTGTAGTGTAAAATGTTAAACAGAAATGGATATGTTACATTCATAAAAAGGGCCATTTACTATTTCTGAAATGCTCAAGGGGGATAAAAGTTATTTTTAGCACCATAAAACAGTAGCAACATACTAAAGAGGTGCCTCTAGTTCTATGGAAGTTAACTTAAGGAGCAGTACATTCAAATCTCTGTAGGCAGCAGTCAGAATGTCTACAGCCAGTGCTGCAGGCAGAGAAACAGAGCATCTCCTTAGATTTCTACCCTGCTTCCCACTGGGAGTAAAAGACAAAAGGAGTTTAACTGGTATCGTTCTTTTTTTATTTTATTTTTAAAAAATCTTCCCTTTGTGCTTTTGAAATGTACATTTTTCTATCGAAGGGCAGCAGTGAATACAAATTTTATTTCTTGTTTCCTTTTGCACCAAGTCTTCAAAGGCTCAGCAAACGTGTCTAGCAACCCAACTATCCTGTAAGATTGAGGGCACCCTCCTTTTTATAGATCCAAATTCTCTTAGATGGCTGTTACTCCATTGTCATTAGTGTCACTTGTTTACCTGAGAAACAGATTTTAAAAGCCTTGCTTCTACCACTGACATTGTACGCTATTTATTTATTTTTTGCATTATTTTACACACTGAAAAGATAAGGAGGCACATTCTCAAATAAGATGTCAGTGGCTTGAGCCATGCAACTTCCACAAGACGTTCGGGAAGCTGCACAGGAAAAGTCCAGTGCACCAAGTTGAGAAAGTACAGACCAAGGGCCTGATCCTGTACCAACTGAAGTCTAGGGACCTGGTTCTCTGCTCATTTACACCAACTTCAATGGAGTTTCGGACTTACACCACTGTAAAGCTTTGATCCAGCAAAGCAGATAAGAATGCTTTAAGCATGTGACTAGTCCCATGGGACCTGTCATGTTTGGTCAAGTACTTAAAGTTAAGCACGTGCTTAAGTGCTTCACTAGACTGGGGCCTAAGTGAAAGACGACTCTAATCCAATGGGTGCCACTGCTGAAAATGTCTTTATTTTGATTAATGGTAGGTTGAGCTATAATACCAGAAAATAGCAGTAAACTTGACTTTTTAAACAAAAAAGTTACGCCCATGGCAACTGTTTCACAAAGCAAGCATCATCCAATGGATCCCAACACAATTTTTTTCCCTCTCTGTTCAGGCCCTGATTCAGCAAGATATAAAAGCACATGCCAAAGTTTAAGCACAGGAGTAGCCCTATTGGCTCTAATTGGACTATTCACATGGTTAAGTGCATTGCTGAATTGGGGTTCTAATTCTTGATTTTGGTTCCTTATTCAAGAAACACTATGATAAAGGGGGGGAGCACGAGTGGGGGAGAATACATCATTTTATGCTTTATGATTACTCAAGTTCCCCATTATTAATCTTTTTTGTCTTTACAAAACCTCTATATGCAAGTACCGCTAACAAAACTAGGGACATTGGGGGTTGTAATTTAAAATCAGGTCGTCGTCGGCATTTATTTTGAAAAGAAATATTCCTCATAGTGTATTTATAAAAAGAAAATGGAGAATTTGCCGATAAATGCAGGAGGCACCAGTCCCGCTAGAACCAGGATTAGCAAATGCAACATTCTCCTCACCTTGACTCTGTCCAGCACAGGGATTTTTCTCACTTCAATTCTTGGAATTGGAATGAGGGCAAATGAAATTGGGCCACATTAAACTGACCCGGTTTATGCCAATCTAAGCCAGGCTGATCATGGGAATGGGTCCTTTTAAATTGAGTTGTTTGTCCCTTTATGTATTCTAATTTATCTGATGATTATAATTCACCAAAACTGAAATCTGCCAGAGTTGCAGTACAGTGCATCGTAAGACAATAAGGATACTATACAATTTATATAGCATCCTTCATACAAAGGATCATAAAAGGCATTTATAGTAAGAGTCAAACAAGATACACTGAAAACAGGGACCTCAAGGCAAGCTGTAAAAGGGAATGGCTTAGTGGCTTGTAGTGAACATCCCACATTGATGAGCCAAAACAAATAAAATAGTGGAACTGTGGAGGAGGCAGATTAAAAGGATGCAGAGTGGAGATGGGAGGGGATATAAAGAGAGGGAATGGTGGAGTGAATCCTTGGAGATGAAAAAATGGCAAGAGGCCAGTTAGTGACAGGATCCTGGAGAGGGGACTCTAGCTGTAATATTTTGGACCTTCCAGAATTTTTGAGCATAGGAATATGCAAGAGGGAAGTGCGCTAATCAGGATAATAGAATAATAAGTGGTGAAGGCAGAAATGGACTTTTTGACAAGGAACAAGATAAAGAGATTATGAAAATGTTCTCGAGGTAGCTTTAGGCAGGCGCACAGAAAAGGTAAACAAGGGTAGAGGACAAAAATTTGGTTCAGGGAGAATTCCAAGATTTCTGGCTTTGGAAGCCAAGTTAAGGGGTTTGTTAGCAGAGGGACAGTGGAGTCACAGGTGGAGCAGGGTCAATGTTTTACCCCAAAGGACTTTTGTTTTTCAGGCATTCAGTGGCAAGAAATGATTGCGCAGTCTAAGGATGACAGAGTCAAGGAGGCCAGAGAGATGGGAGACAGAAGGCTAAGAGAGTGAGTCAAGGGAGATGGAATCTGCAATTAATATTGTACTGAAATGTATGGTAATTGAGTATTAATGGAGTTTGCAAGATACAATACAATAATTGATATGTTTTATGTACTGTATTCATGTCCTATTGCACATTTCTCAAATGCCATAAATATTGCTGTATGTTTCAGTTCCATGTACCTTATTATGAGTCACATAATTGTATGTTAAACACACGTAACACAATGAAAACCAACAGAAATGTGCTTTCAAATGGCAGGTCTGAGTCAAAGAGCAGGGAACTGCCATTTCCTAGAACTGGGCCTGACCTGGCTCCATAGGAGCAGCAGCCTAAACATCCAAAATAGCAGTGATCGCAGGTTCCTACCCCTCCCACCCACCATGTGCAGAACGGGAAACAGCTCTAGAAAATCTCTGTTAGCAACCCTTATTTTATAGAGCATTTAATCTCTGATACATAAATACAAAATACAACTGAGACTTTGTAATTACATATGCCTGGACTGCCTCTTCGGGATCCAGATGTGGACCTGACCCGTTGTATGTGAATGTCTCCACCTGTGACATTGATTGAGAGAAAGAGTGCTGCCTCTTCCCACACAGCACCGGGGCCCCATGGATATGGAGAAGGGCAGGGAACTGGCTGTGCTCTGTGACTCCATTCTCTGCCACAGTAGACATCCAAGCAGGAATTAATACTGTTTAACACAGCTCTTAGTTCCCTTCCAGGTTGCTACTATGTAGCCACAAAGGGAGCCAAGCAGTGGAAACATGGCTTAAGCAAAGCCATGCACCTAAGGGTGGGCCCAGCAGAGCTATCCCTGTAGAGAGCTTTTGCTTTAGCAGTTCTGGGGTCCCTTAGACCTCACTCCCCACTTGCTGGATTTTCTGTGGGATGCTGCACTCTAGCTTGTGTCCCATAAATCAACAGTTACTATGAGATTGCAGAGCTACCATAATCTGATCCAGAGTCACTCACTCCAGGCAGAACTATAATGCTATCTTTCAGGACAAATCAACTAATATGATACTTTCAGAGTAATTACAAAGCAGATTAGTAATTAAGTAAAATAACGTGTTATTAAAGAAATGAGGCTAAACTAAAACCCCAGTATCTGAACAACCCCAAATGCTAAGAGAGTTTGGATCCAGGTCAGAAGTTTGCAACTCAGTCCCATCTCTAATTTTCAATACTAATAAAGTGGGGAATAATTTAATATAAAAATGTATAGCCACCTCCAACTCTGCCATTAATATTACCGAAAAAAAACAGACTATATCAAAAACACTTCCATGTACTGCAAACACAAAGTCTATCCCTATCTACTTTGAAATGCCACCTTAATACTTATGAATATGTTGAGGAAGTGATCTCCTATTAGATTGCTACTAAGGCCCCTCTCCTTGTACCCATAATTTTCTATTGCATAAATATGTGACCTAACCTTACTTTCCTCTGCTCTCATTAGCTCTCAGTTAGCAGGTCTCTTGCATATCAAGGTTTCATAATAAATCAGCAGCAAAATGCACAGGCTCTCAGTTGCACAAGGAAAATAAGTGAATTTTTGTTTTGTTTTCTTCTTTTGAGGGTGAGGGCATGGTGGGGTACAAATAAGGCCTTCTGAAAATACTTTTACCATTCAGTACTTATCACTGTCTTAATATAGTCCAGTTGTGTATGATCTGGCCTCGATTTGGTGAGATCACAAATATTTCCATTTTCTCTTTTATTATGTACCGAGTCAAAGAAAAAAATTGTTGCACTGAAAATTGTTTTCATTTTAAAATTTCAAACAATATTGGCATTGCAAAGTTAAACACTTAGAAAACACCAAAGCTGTGATATGAGAGCACTTCTGACAGGATCAGCATAAAAATGTTTAAGAAACTTCTCAAATAAAAGTAAATAGCAATAAATGTATGAAATGTAGTAGTTCTAATTTTATAACTATTTTAGCATTTATCCCAGGTTATTATAAAATATATAAAACTGAGATACAAAGTATCAGCAATATAACTTTGCACTTTAAATGATCTTCAGCTACAGGTTTTGCTTTAAGAAAACAGACACTTGAAAAGCAGCTGTTCTGTAGTCTCTAAATGCAGACACTTGAGTCCCTGTCAAACTTACCTTGAGTGATTTTCTGAATTCCTCCAACATTTCAACTTTCTCCTATAATGAAACTCAAAATTTCATCATTATGGTTTTTTTGCTCATGTTTCTAAAGAAAGGACATTAACATTTCTCAGCTTCAGTTTTAAAGTTCTTTTTTTGTTTTTTTTTGTTTTTTTTTTGTGAGCTTTAAACCACAGGGCAAATCCATGAAATGAGGTAAGTAAATTTGGCACACTTTTAGTTATGTCCATCAAACTTTTGGTAAGTTGTATAAGTGAACAACATCATTTTCACTGTGAGTTACAGGTGCTTCCAAAGGGGGTGGTTAATACATAATCACTGGAATGTTTATAGTAAATCAAAAGGCATAGTTCCAGAAAACACTCACAACCCAATGTTGATAGAGAAGTAAAAATATGTACAATACAGTCACTTGTTCATAGTTTGGCACAATTTTTGTTGTTGTTGTGGGTAATAGTGCATAAACTACTGTACAACAGTATGACTTTTAAAAGTCTTTCACAGAGAATACCAGATTAGGTTTGCTTTCAAAGAATAAATTCCCACAATTTCAAACTCTTCATTTCAGCACTTACATTTCAACATACCACAAGGCATATTTTGAAAGAAACAAACAAAAACCAAAAAAACCAAACATCAAACGTCTTTCTAGAAAAAGGAGTCTCTTCTTCAAACACAGGTAAAACCAAAAATGTTGTTTCTGCTTTAAGAAGAATGTAGTCTGATTCCCTGCAGAAAAATCAAACATTTTATGCCATCTTAGTTAGCTTGTGTGGAGTCACCACAACAGGATCATATGCTCTAAACTCTGATACAGTAGATGAAGCTTTATGATATAAACAGCAGAGGGGGCTAGAAAGCACTCAAAATTGCCACATGAAGCTCAATTATGAATGAGTTTTCATTTTCAAACTAAAGAGCCTTTAGTTAGATATCTTGGCTTTTAGATGCATAACCTCTTTTTTGTGTTTTGTTTTATACAAAATGTTCAAAAAAAAAAGTCTTTCCTTTTCAAAATCATTAAAAAGAGCATGTAATTGTTTTGTTTTTTTTCAATAAATAAGTAATTAAAAACTGAAGAAGCCAAACAGCAGAAAAGAGTAGCCTTGTTAGTTTTTTAACCCCAGCCAAGCCAGAAAATGGGTCATTCTTTTAGGTAGCTTGCAAGTAATAAGTATTTTCATGCACTTAAAAAAAATTGTAAAAGGGGAATGTCTCTTTCATGCAACTCTTGCTTTCAGGAAGGAAAAAATGAGGAACAGCAGGCTTAGCAGGTAGTAGGAAAGTTAAGGGTGCATTCCAGCCAGTTTGGTGCAGCATTACCTCAGTTTTTCAAAAGAAGCTGTCACAGATGGGTCCTTATGGTTCTGTTCACGGTCTGTTCGCTTTACTTTACAGTTCTCATCCCTCAGTGATTTCGAACTTGATTTATGACGGTACAGCTTTTTATGGGTAGGTCCATTATTGCCTAAAGTGCTCAGGTTACTATAGCTTTTATCAAAAAAGGGAGAGTGAATGTCTATATTGTACCCAGTTGAACAGTTGGGGCGACTGGGATCACAAGTTGTGGCTTTGCCATTATTTTTGCTTGAGCCCTTGTTGCTTGACTTGTGATTCTTCGCAGTTCCCGGGGAATTACCATTTCCCTTTTTCTTGGACTCTTGTGATGTCCCTGCCAAAATTTTAAGAGTTTTCAATTTCAGGCTGTTAGATTCAGGCGACCGGAATATGTCTGGGACGCTGTTGTGGCCTACAGGCCCCCATAAGGGTTCGATTGAGGCCATCATAAATCTCTGAACATCTGCCATTCCAGATGCAATGTTAGATAAAATATTGGAAGGTTCCTCAAATTCCCTTTGATCATCATCAAGGAGGTTGTTAGTGTTTGCTATGCTAGTTTCGGACCAGCCTGTACTATTGTCTTTTCTTAGTGACCATTCACCAGATAGTCCATTATGCTTCCCTATCTTTACAGAGGTCGGGCTGCGGTGCTGAATGCATTCAGCTAGTGCCTTTGTTGTTGAGGCTGTATTATTTAACTGATTGACTGTCCTGCTGCCAACTGCTTGAGCCTTTTCACCATTGACTCCAGCTGCATTTTTCCCTTTCCTTGTTGACTTGGGAGTCTGCCTGGAATTCTTACTTTGTGGTTTATCAGTTCCTTTGTTAGTTTTAGGAGATTTTTTCCTAGTGTTTTTCTGGGGAGAACTTTGGTTTGTACCTACATTCTTGCTGGATGAACTTTTCCTCTTAGATTTTGACACTTTGCTATTGGTGCTAATTTGACCAGATGGCTCATTAAATGTTGACAAGCATGGACTTTTTTCAAGGAGGCTAACAGAATCTTCATCATTGAACATATGGAACTGAAACTGATGATTATTTAAAGTAAACCCATTATCTGCCTGATCTTGGGTCTGGAGAACCCCACAGTTCCACTTGACCTTATCAGTATTGCTTAGCACAGTCTGAGTGGTCTCCTGAAAACCTTTCAGATTGCCTAGCGATTTGGTATCTGACACGGTTATCTGAGGGGAAAGGTTGGGGGTGTCGGGAGGAGACATTTCCGAAAGCGATGACTGACGGAACTTATCAGGTGTGAAGTTGGAGATGTCTAAAAGGTCCGTAGACTCTTTCAAAGGGGTTATTTCATCTATGCTTTGTTGGATCACTAGCTTGGGACTGCAGTGGGCCAAGAAATCATCATTAATATCATCTTCGCCGTCCTTTTCACAAGACTTTAGACTTAAAGAACTGTAATTGCTCGAACTAACTGACAATGAGCCCACTGAATCAAAACTAATGAGTCTGCCATCATCTGTACTTAGTGTACCTCGTTGGAAATGAAAGCGCCCCTCTCCATTATTAAAATGACATGACTGATAAGAATCATCAGACTGCACTTGTTGGTTATCCGGCACATATTTTTTTTGGTATAGCAATTTGCTGCTATTCAGATTTACTTGACTGTATCCAGAGGCTGGGAGGTTGTCTGCTCCTGTTGAGCCACCAAACTCATTTGATAATGCAGAAGCCTCCCTCATGTCACTTGCAAATTCCTGATGGTTGCTGCTGGCAGCCTTGTTTGCTGGCCACATGCTATTGAAGTTGCTCTGCTCAATTTCTAAGTGGCCAGGTGACTGCTGCAGTTCAGATTCAGAAGGCGGGGACAGCACACAACTCTGGGCTGTCTGCAGAGCAGAGAACTGCTTTTCTGCCTGAACAATGCTTGGAAGGGAATGCTGCTGTTCAGGGGGATGCTGGGTGAAGTATGAGATACCAGTGTTACTTGACAAATCAGAAGCGTCTAACAATGTCTGCAGATACCCACCGGGGATCAGGGGTACATTGGTGGTGATATTAGCAGGTGGTAGAGGCTTGTCCGGAGAGCAAGTGGCTGGCAGGAAAGTAGAATTTTTAGCAACCTTATCCTCATGGCACTCAGAAATATGGGAGCTGTCTGAAGCACAAGGAATATTTTCATCCTTCAAACTAGCTGCTGTGTCCTGATTTTCCAAAGCAGGGGCGATTTCTCCCGTATTTGTGGCAGCTTTGATTTTCTTGCATTTCAACCTGGCTTCACTTTTGAATTTGATTCGGCGTAGCACTTTCCTCTCTGTCCCCTTATATTCCCTGTCCTGTGATTTGTACTTCACTGAGGCAATGCCTGTGATGTCATTTAAATGTAATCCGTTTGCACAGCTGGGGGTAGCGATGGCTAATGTCTGCATCCCTTTCAGGCCTGCATCCTCTTTACTGCTGCAAGGCTGCTTCTGATCAGAGGAACAGGAGCCCAGTTTGTTCACTGATTGCTCAATGGCTTTAATTCTTTGAATCCTGTGCCTGTTTGCTAGTTTGCATTTTCGCTTTCTTGGGTGAGGGAGGAATGAGACATCCGAGCCATTAAGATAGAAATTCTGTTTGTGATAGAGAGATGATCTAAGATAATCCATCCGGCTCTGCTGCCTCTCTTGCCAGAAGCCCTTCAGTGGGGCCAGTTTTTCATACTTGCTGAGCAGTTCCTCACTTAGGGTAACAGTTGTCTCATTGGCATCGACTTTACTAAGCTTCACCAGCATATGCTTCTCCCCTTTAAATCTGTTAATGATGATGTACTTGATGATAACTGGGGGCTCCTTGCGAGAGACTTTTCGCCTTTTCTTTGGGCACCATTCATCGTCATCTTCCTCTTTGGGTCCGTCCGGGAGCCACTCTTTCTTATCCAGAATCTTCTCACTCTCAATGGAATCCACATCGTACAAATAATCATCGCTGTATCGCACTTTCCTCTTTGCCCGCAGCCCATAGTTCTGCTGAATGAAGGAATTGGAATGTTCCCTGGACAGATACCTGCTACAGTCCTTTATATCCCGCAGCACGTCATCCGAGGACTCCGTGCAGGTGCTGTCATCGCTGAACTCCCCAGAGTCCTCTGTGGAATTCACAGAGTCCAAGAAGTGGCTCCTTTTAGAGCCTATATATTGCACCACCTCTGTACTGTTGCAAGTTTTATTTAAGGCAGCTTTCTCCTCCTCCTCCCCGTCCTCCTCCTCTCCATCCTCCTCTTCCTCCCCCCAAATGATGCCCTCTTCGGATTTGAATTGGGAAGGGTCAGCACCACCACCAGCCCCCCTCTTCAGGGTGCTCTTGCTGTCCCTTTTAGTGCAGTTGCCAAACACGCTGGGAAAGAAGTTGAACTGGGCATCCTCTTGCAGGGCATTGGTCTTCTCCCTCACGTTGTCTTGGAAAGATTCATATCTAATCTTTAAGGAGCAGACGTCACTTCCCAAGGTTGAATCATCATCATCAAACATGTAATTATCCACGTCTTCCTCAGAAAACAGGTTTACAGAAAGCTCATTTTTGGAGCAAAGGTCAAGCAGCTCAATTTTACTTTCACTAATGAAAGATTCGAAATAGCCCCACTCCTGGTTGGGATTTGTTAGCAAAGGTTCTTCACCATTGCATTTGTCTGATAGTAATCCCTCGTAATAATTTTTCTGAGTGGGGTCCTCTGAATCACTGTCAGATTTCTCTGCATCTCTTTTGTCTGCTGCCCTCGATTTATGCATAGGGAAGCTTAAAAGCTGGTCTGAAAGCAGTTGATCCCCATATCTCATGGTTTCTCCTGTGCTCATGCAGTGAATCCCTATATCAGAGACTGAACAGGTGTCATAATCCCTATTTATATCACCCACTTTCAAGCTTATTCCCGGCTCTGCATCAATGCCGTCCTTTGATTCAATAAAGCAGCCTAGACAGGTCCGGCTTGGCTGCATCAAGCAGTCACCAGTCAGAGCTGACATGCCTCCGGGCTCCATAATTGTGAATGGAGCCTTCTCACAATCGCCTGGCAGAGACCAGGAGCTCATGCCCTTTGTAACACAAGATGTAAGAGAAATAGCGTGTGCGGACGAGTCATCTGAAGTGTGCTCAGGTACATCAGTGAGTCTCAGAGGAGAAGGAGGGCTCAACAAACAGGGCTTCTTTGAAGTCAGAGGAGGCAGCACTCGGTGGCACACTTGATTTTCCTTCTGAGCTATTGTCAAGGCTGAAAAAGTAACCGCAGCATCTGCAGCAGTGCAAGGCTTCTCATCACTGTCTGGGTCATGTGATTCTGGAGGAATTGAAAGAAAAAGGGAGAGTGGAAGGGAGGGAAAAAAAGAGAGTTAGTTTAAGAACCTTGGGATTCTGATCTGACTCTTTTCCCCTCCTCTTGCTATGTTTTGGGAGATGACTTTTGCAAACAAATAAATTCTTTGAAAAACAGCACTGTTTTGCTTACAAGACTGCAATGTTTAATTTGTGTAACTAATTGATTTTGTGATGTACAAAAAATACAAACATACTACCCCTTGTAGCCTCCTTGCACATGAACAGGGTTATATTTAAAATACATTGATACTTGTTTGTTTAAAAAAAACCAACAACATGTTGCTAAGTGGATACTGTTATGTCAAATCTGGGTAAAATGTAGGTTGTAAAAAAAAATCAAAGTTTAATAGAAATGTTCCTATTAACATTTTAAAAAATGTAATTGCAATGGAAATAGGTACTTAAATATTTTGCAGATGTGGGTTGCAAACACATCTGCAAATTGTCAGTGCTCAAGAGTTAGAAAGTTACCCTGATTTAAAACTGGCATTGTTCAAGCTGAGAGAAATGCAAAAAGTAAAACAAATGCTATAAAGAGATAAAAGAAAATTAGATTTTTAAAATTCTTTTCATTTTTGTAATCAATAAGATTCTTTTATAGTGACATAGGTAAGGAATTATTTTAAATAAGATTTTTAACCTGATAGTGTCCCTTTAAAGAAAAAAAATTATAAATACAGACCTTTCATATCTAGAGAGAATTTAATTTGTTGTATCCTTGAGCATGCACTGATCTCTGAGTAAGAAAAAAAAAGAAATATATATATATATATATACACATATACACACACACACACAAAATGAATTGTCTCTTCTATTAATGTGGAGACAGATTCTGATACCCTTTCTCATGTTCAGTCATCATTTACATCTTAGGTAGGCCCACTGAAATCAAATGGACTACTCAAGGCATAAAGGTCTACTCAATACTAGTGAGGGTGGCAGAATCTGACCCATACTAAAGTACTAAATACAAAAAGACGTAACCGACAATGCATCTATAAAAAATTTGTGAGTCTAGTGGAAATGGTTCAAAATGCCAAGAAAAGGACAAACACTGTAAAAGGACTTGTGCATATGGAAAGATTTGACATCCATGCAATCTACTATAGTCACCTTTATCAAGAGTATTTATTTTACACTGAAACTGATGAGAAACAACTAATTTAATGTATTTATGCCAATTTACATTAGCTGAGGATCTAGCCCATAATGTGTTTATGTAAACACCCACAGAGTTATAAAATACAATATAAAGTAAAGAACAAATGTGTTACCGCACTGTTAATGAGGAGAAAACTAGGACACAAAAGTCAAGAAACTCAGAAGATGAAGGTTTTCAAGGCAGCACTAACTCAGGCACATCACACACTTGTGCATTTATTTAGTAACTTATAGGCAAAATTCTGGGGCTGTTGGAAGGTCCACAGTGCAGGGGTCAAGATATGAATCTCCATATCCCCCTGCAGACTAGCTCTGCAGTGACTCTGGGTATGTCTACACTTAAAACACTGCAGTGGCGCAAGTGCACTTCAGTGTAGACACTACCTACGTGGATGGGAGGGGTTCTCCCCAGGGCCGGCTCTAACTTTTTTGCTGCCCCAAGCAGCAAAAAAAAAGTGCCGCCCCCCCCAGACCACCCCCCCACCGAGCGCCGTGCCGCCGGAGCCTGCCTCCCCCGCCGAGCACCGCGCCGCCGGAGCGCTCCCCCCGGAATGCCACGCCGCGCTGCCCCCCGCCACCCCAAGATTGGCCGCCCCTTACCAGGTGCCGCCCCAAGCATGTGCTTGGTTGCCTGGTGCCTGGAGCCGGCCCTGGTTCTCCCATCAGCACAGGTAATCCACCTTCCTGAGAGGCAGTAGCCTGGTCAACAGAAGAATTCTTCCATCAACCTAGAGCTGGTCTACACCAGGAGCTAGGTCGATATAGCTACATCTCTCAGAGGTGTGGATTTTTCACACCCCTGAGAGACGTAGCTATCCCAAAGTAAATTCCTAGTGCAGACCAGGCCTCTGTCTGCAGGTGCCTTGAGGAAGAAGTATGGCCAGGGGATCTCCCATTCTGTGGATCTATTGATATACAAAAATCTCTAGGGAGATCAGTGGCCTGTGGCTAATATTCCTGCCAACATCCTGCAGTAATGGCCTTAGGAGCGCTGCTAAGCCAACAACTGCAGGATGGGGTTGAGGGTTCTGGACCTCAGGGCACGTCTACACTGAAAACTTACATCGGCATAGCTATGTCTCTGACCTAGCCTCCGGTGTAGACAGCACAAGGTCAACAGAGGAATTCTTCCATCAACATAGCTACCGCTTCTTGGGGAGGTGGATTAACTACGGCGACAGGACAACCCCTCCCACTTTGCCGTTGTGAGGGTCTACACTGATGTGCTATAGCGGCACAGCTGCAGCTGTGAAACTCAGTGTGAAACTGGTATGGGGCAGGGCCGGCTCTGGC